CAAAAATTCAGTGCTATTTTTGTCTGTTTCAGGCCCGAACAAGTCGGGTCAGTGATCGGCCTCACGCAGTCGAACGAGGACACCCATCTGATCAACAACTTCTCTCCTCCGCTGACCACGTCGAGCAGGTCATCTGTTGCGCTGGACGCCACGCCGCCGCTTTCCAGTGGCGGAAGCGCAGTTCTGGCTGTCAAACAGGAGCACGTCCTAAATGGACCCTCAACGAACAACTTCAATGCGTTGGTCAACGCAGCCGTTGTTCAAGTGTGTAACTCTAGATTCTGTGGTTTCTGTAGCACCGCTGAGTCAATTTTTTAGGCTTCCGAGTTGACAAACCACAATCGGTTAGGAGTAACTTCGGGATACGCGCCGGATGCAAACGGGCACCATGACGAGAAAGTAACCGATCCAGTCGCTCTATCTTCTGGTGCTCTTACGCCGAATAATGCCAAAGTTGCTGCGGGTAAGTAATTTCTAACTTGTGAACTGATTATATCTAGACAATTTTTTAGATGTGCCTTTTTCTTTGTGAAATTTTTTTTCTGAAAATTTGCGTATATTTATTACTGCGACGTCTACCATTTCTTTCACTTTTATGGAGAAGACGAATGTTTGAATGTGAAGTTAGCTACTAGCATTGAGCATAAAAAATCGCTATTACAGATTCTAGCATCTATGTGTTGAACAGCAAAGTAGAATTTCTTGCTATGAATTACGCGAACATATAAAGCCGTTGCTTCGACATTTTGTTTATTGAAAAAATAAAGTCTGAGGGGAAGGGTAGACAGTTTTCTGATCACTGTTCTTAGACATAATAGTTTTTCTTTCCGTTTTCGTTGAAATGTCAAGATGTTTTCTGCTTTATGGTTTCCGAAAACAAACACTTGATTTTGACTCGTCAACGGAAAAAATGGCTAGCGAAAGTTTGTGCTGAAACCAATCATCTATCCATAGCCAGTCTGTACTTTGGCTTGCAATTCAGCACCACCTGTGGCCGAGTGTAAACTAGATGTGAAATAATACTTCCCTTGACGTTTCACATTTATTTTAGTGAAGCGACCACGAGACGCGAAGCCCGAGCTGTCCAGCAGTAACGTCGATAAAGCGAAACGCCCTCGTACAAACCATCGAACGAAAAGCGAAAAGGCGTTGCGTGATCTGGTGGGGCCAATTGTCTCCGAGACTGTATCGGACTTCCACCGCGAACGAGTCGCTGATAGGACCGTGCCGAGCGCCGCGGCCACGACCACCACCACCGTCGTCGCCGCCACCGCCAACGCTGTCGATCGACGTATGGTCAGCGCAAATGCCGCCGCTATTCCGTCGACGTCACATGATGCGCCGCCTATTCAGCAAACACCGATTGTGAACGGTATGTGAACTTGTGTTTGATCAAATGATTGACCTATCGTGCTAGTTTGGAAGGGATTATGGGTTATAGTTTCGTGAAATTATCGCTGATCTGACCGATAACTTATGTTTCTCACCCATTTCAAAATTTTTGGTCCATTTAGTGAGAGCTTAGTCGAGTAACTCATCTAAACTCAAAGTGCCCATTTTTACTTCCCGTACAATTAATTAATTTTTTCTTCGGCTTAAGTATTCATATAAGGGATGACTGCGTCCCCTTTAGTAAAAAAAAATCCATTAAAATGACTGCAGTTGCCCACAAATTTGCCTTGTCTTTTTTCCCATTGATATTGCTATTTTTGAACTGAACACATTACTTTCTATTTCTAAATTTATTCCTATTACCCATTTCTAGTTAGAAAAGACTTTCAAGCATTTAGCTAAGATCTGGTTACCCATTTTGACAAGTTAATTTTGGATTCCTGGTTAAGACAAGACGGTCAGATTTGCAAGTCTAAAACTGGATCTTTCAGCCCAATCCAACAATCCGAATGTGATCGGAACGAGTCCCTTGGTGCCACGATCTCAGAGCAGTAGCAACGGCGGTATTCCGGCAAACTCTACGCTACCATCTTCAATGGAACAGCTGCTGGAACGACAATGGGAGCAGGGATCGCAATTCCTAATCTCACAAGCTCAGTTCGATGTGGCTCAGCTGTTGACTTGCCTCCACCAACTAAAATCTGAAAATATTCGGTTGGAAGAGCAACTGGTGCAATTGAATCGACGGCGAGAACATCTACTTTCGCTGACGTCGCGGTTATCCGTTCCGCTTGGCGCGCCGCCATCGCAATTACAACAACAACATCAACAGCAACTGCAGCAACAACAACAACAACA